AGCACTTCCGGTTTTCGAGAAATCACGTGATTTCTATTTCAAACGAAACCACACAAAGTCTCCGAAGTTCTCAATTAATTAAATACATATTTTTTTTTGGTGAACATTTGGTTCACTGGTTTGCTAGTGTATACTGTGATATACATTAGTAAATTTGTTCTTCTATTGACTTCGTATTTGTTTTGGCGCCACGCATTGCATGTTCCGTGCGCTCATCTGCCTTAAGTTCTGTGATCTGAGATTATAACGATAGTTGTTTTATTACCGTAATCTTTCTTATTTGTATACAGTAATCAATAAAATATATTATCACCATACTTTGCAATTATATAATACTACCTTTGTGTTGATTTACCATCAATGAGACTGTTATTATTCATTATTACAAAGAGAACTCAATAGTACAGTGTAAATAAAACAACTTTTGTAATGGCTGGTCACACTACATGTGTGACCAAAGTAAATGGAACTCCTCCGTACTTCTGAGAAGGCACGTTGCAACTGCATTCGTTAGCCCCCAACAATCTACATTGGGCACGCGCGTTGGGGTCAGGACTAATAATTCTCCTTATTATTCCTTATATATGGAAGATCTGCGCTCCACCAGTAGGGAAAACAATTGGCTGATGATTATATAACGACGACCCTTTTAAACGGAAACCCCCTCATGAATCACGTCACTTTTCAAAACAGGAAAATAAAGTAGGTACTACTTTAAAAGGATAATGGGAAAACAAATACTTCATTTACATTAGGCATTCGAGTAATATACTTGAAACCTATTAAAAATGTAATGAAAGTAATTAATTGTTCTTTTTAATGGACTTCATAAAGGAGGAGGTTCTCAATTCGTAATTTTCTTTATTGTTGTTTGCGCATATCTCCGTAGTTTGTTGACCGATTTTAATGATTCTTTTTTTTTTGTTTGTATGAGTTTTTGAATTTTCGGTGGTTTTCTTTTTATGTAGTCGGTTTTATTTTTGTTTAAAAAGTTTTTATTTTTCCTTTTTTATAAGCCAAGTAACAATTTTAGGAGTTTCGTTGTTTATCTCCAAAAGATATCTTCAACAAATTAATTTGGGTCCTAATAATGTTACTTTAGTCTAAAATACATTTCAAGTTAAATTAATATTTGTTGTGAAATATTAATTCGACTCTTTTAATTTAGGTTTTTTTTCTTAAACATGTTTTAGGTGAATTATAATCAATAAGGTTACATTTGGTATAGGTGTGAGCGTTCTAAAGACGAACCGGTTTCAAGGACCGTTTTGTGTTCCGCGACGATAGAACCGTTTTACGTTTCGGATCAAAACAGTCTTCGTCGAACAACTAGTCCTCGGATTGTCTGCACGCCAATATGTACTTTATGAGGAAGTAAATACAGTCTATAATAGAACGCAAGTAAATGACATGCCGTTTCGTTCTATGATAATTCAGCTTTGATTTTACAATAATATAATCTTTATTATTGAACGTTTAAAGTCGATTATCGTATAAGACTACATTTATGTCGATGTTTCGTCGTCTCGTTCGCAGTAACGAAATGAACGTTAACAAGATTTCGTTTAGTTCAGTTTCGTTGCGTTCATTCGTTCGACCGTCGCGTGTCGTTTCGTTGCATCACCCAGCCGCAACCATAACCAGTTGCGAACGAGAACCGTTTCGAGGACTAGTTTTCGTTTAAGAGAAAACGGTTGCGTTTCGTCGTCAGAAATTTTGAGAACGACCCACCGCTAATTTGGTATCACCAACCTGTAGTAACAATGACTTAGCGCTATCTATGACAGGCGTTATTATTAAATTTTAACCTATTAAATAATATTATCTGAAACAAAACCATATCGCCATTCACAATGCATCAACGCCATCTATGAGAGGTGTTATGAACTAATTTATTATTTTAGTTTTATTATTACTATATATTAACATTTAATTATTTATTGGTATATTACTGTAGTTATCAATCTTATAAATGCCGCCCATCAAGTACATACTGCAGAAATGTCCTTAAAAATGGGAAGTAGATAGATCATCATTAGTATATAAATTACACCCTTTTTTTAAGATGTATAAAAGGACTGTTTACATGAAAAAACATACCATCCTGGAACAAAATATCAATACAGTGAAAATAAAAATGAATCTAATTCTTATATAATATGTACTATAAAAATAATATTATAAAGGACATTGCTCGTTCCCCATACATTGAATGCCCTAGATCGCACAGCAATGAGAAAATGCTAGTTGTGTTCGGAATCATTCATAAACTCTAATTAGGCATTTGTTGAGATACGGACAACTTGAGGAAACGTGGCCATCTACAGAATGTATTAGATTTTGAGGATATAATTATTATACTTGATCGTAAAAGACGTACACTTTATATATTCTGAATAGATTTAGTATTTACCTCTGTAAGCACCTAAATAATATGCATTTAATGAACATAAAATGCAATTAATAATAAAAATAGTAACACAACTTTTTAACAAATGACCCATTTAAAATAAAATAATAACGAAAGCAATAAACTTTTATAATATGATAGACTGAAACCTATTGAATCCAGTTAAAAGTTGATTTTTAATGCTGTATTTTCAATAAAAAGAAGTGCCAAGATTGTTTACCAAATAGGAAAAGTTAGGATGAACAGACTGTAGTATCTATTAACAGAACTTTTTTTTTAAACACATTGTCTATTTACTATGATTAATTGCTAATAAGTTAAAAAATAATACTGAAGGAATACTTAACTACTACTACTAATACTTTTGGGCATGCTGGGGCCGATTTCGTCGATGTCCTTTAAGATATTGGAAGTACACATACACACATCAAAAAAGTTTGCGATCACATTGAAAAATAGATTGTTTTTTGTGTTACAGAAGACTTTTATGTAATTTCTTTTTCTGATAAGATGCTAAATTTTAAAATTAGAATTAGAACGTAAAACAATAAAATAATTCAATTGTTTTCCCATATAAAAAGACATGCGATCCAAGCTGATACTTATTCAGAAATCTGACTTAGTAAATATTATCGAATTTAAAATATTTGTTCACGAAAAGTTGTTATTTAAAAAATGCCACGAAAATTATCAGATTTAGAGTTTGACGAGCCAGAATTGTAAATTTGAGGGAAGAAGGCCATTCGGTGAAATTCTGTTACTAGATACTACAGTCTGTTCATCCTTGTCCTATTTTACCAAATAACCAACCACCACCTACCAGATTGCTTACCAGCAATCTTGGCACTCCTTTTTATTGAAAATACAGCATTAAAAATAAACTGATAACTGGATTCAATAGGTCTATAATAACGATTTATTATAATAGTTTATTGGTTTCGTTCTTATTTTATTTTTAAATGGGTGATTTTGTTAAAAAGTTGTGCCAAGATTGTTTACCTTAATAAATGCCATACAGGCGACCATAGGTATTTATCAACATAAGAATAGAACTAGGTACCTTAGTAAATCCGTAGTTAATAATACTTATTACTAGTATTTATATAAAAAGATTATCTCTGAAATTATGTAAAGATAATTTATACTCCCATCCTATATAATATCTGTTTATTTTTATTAAAAGCATAATGATTTGGACTTTGATTGGAAAAGCAAAATCGACGACCTCAGTTGCTGAGTGGTTTGTATGCCGGGTTTCATGGTGTCGCCGACTCGAGAGGACCCGGGTTCAAATCCCGGTGGGGGCAGATGTTTGTGTGTTGAATACGGGCATTTGTACTCCAGTCATGGATGTTTAATATGTATTTCTATAAAAATATACTTATTTAAGTACAGCATAATATGTATTCTATCCGTTACCCTAGTATCCCATAACACAAGCCTTATGGTGCTTATTTTGGGGCTAGGCTAATTGGTGTGAGTGTTGGAAATTATTTATTTATTATTATTATGTACGCGACTTTTGGTGCTGCTTAAAAATTTACATTGAATAAAACTGAAATTAGGTTAATTTTTAAGCATCACTAAAATGGCGTATAACCGATTTTGCTTTTCAACTGTCGATATTTAATATATAAAATTCTCGTGTCACGGTGTGCGTAATTGCACTACTCCGCAACGGCTCGACCAATTTTCGTGAAATTTTATATGCATATTGAGTAGGTCTGAGAACCGGACAACATCTTTTTTTCATCCCCCTTAATGTTAAGGGTGATCCACCCTTATTTTTTTTACAAAATTTTTGTTTTTATTTTTTTGCGATACATCATACAAAAATACATACAACCCTAAATTTTCACCCTTCTACCACCAACTCCTATTTTAATATAGCAGTACGAAGTTCTCTGGGACAGCTAGTTATGATATAAATTTTATACTCTGAAATTATTAAACAGCGGATAAAGAAGTTATTAACAAATTATGGTAACCTAATTATAGAAATAAAATTATGTAAAAACAAATTAACATCATCCACGGAGTGAAATTCTTACTTATGATAAGTAAGTATTTAAAACTAAAACAATGGTGTGTCAAGCTGAGAGCTTCAAAGAGATAAAGTTAAAATAATAATACAAAAATAATGATCATTAAGATATTGAAAATCTTTAGGATTTTCCAAGTTCATAATGTTAATAATTTTCACAATTAAAATTTATCATATTGTTATGAAGACATAAAAGTGGATAACCTGCAAGAGCGGGGTGTCAATGACTACTCTTTTTTTTTCTTTGGGTTCCATCTTAAATAATCTTGAAGTTTGGATACCCAGATTCCTCCAGATTATTACAATATAAGCGTATATTTTCACGTATTTGAAAGCATAATATAAGATAAAATTCATAAAAACTAAAGTCGGTAAAAATTAGTTTGGTTTTCAAAACCGCTAAGCAGTTCGCATTGTATTATCACATAGTGATGGTCATACATACCATATACGTATGACCATTCCTATTGGGTTTTTTTATCCTTACGACAACGAGTAGGTAAACTAGTCTTTTCCTGTTATTCATTCGGAGGTAAACACGTTATCAATCAACGCCACAGGCCTCTTGACCAGTCTTGTGGCACACACGGCCGCGTGTTATTTTGTGCACGCTCGCTCATCCATATATCAAAATGAAGTACACTCCAGTAATTTTCGTAGTGCTGTTATCTATAATATGTGTAAGCCACTGTAAAGATCTGATCGTGGGCACGAGTTTCAACAACAGACTGCTTTGGCAACAAAAAGTCGAATACAATGCGATCCCCTTGAAAAAACGGGTCAAAGAAGTATTCTTCTCAGATCCAGGACAACAGATCATCAAGGTAAAACTTTCATGTCAACATTAGTTATTTTCAAAGAATGAATACTACCTTTCTAACGATAATTGAGTTTGCAAAAAAAGAGTTAATCTATTCTAATTTATCTTACCAATTAATTTAAAAATTTAATTTCTTTTAGTAGTAAATAGTCATGGTAATGAAGAACCTTCATTAAAAATAAGCCAAACAAAAATATATTTAAATATAAATCGAATGAAATATTAGATAAATAAATAGCAACTTAATAATTTTTGTAACCATTTTTAAGTCAAATTACATTCAACCACATGTTTAATTCAATTACATTGTCGTAATAAGACCCACTGCCCCTGCAGTCAAACCCGTTTGCTTGGTTTTGTCGGACTATATATGTAAGAAATGCAATAAATAATAAAACAGTTTCTTTTAGAGTTGTATGATAAAGATTTTTTTATCATTCTTAAATTATTGCCATTTGTAGTCAAACTGACATTTTTTAGCATTGAACTGGACAAACTTATCGGTGTAGGTCAGAAGACATTTTGAAATAGAGATAAGTAGATATTGGATAACTTATGTAAACGATGAGTGTTATAGTTTCGTTTAATGTAGATTATTGGAAATCTCTGTTGATACAAGTAAATTTTTTTTTTATGTAAAAAGTCTTGTCGAATTCCATTTCGAGAAATTTACATAGTAGATAAATAAACCTTAAATATATATCTAAAAGGAACTGTAATCCTTGAAGATCCAGAATGACACACCTGTGGTAGGTAAATTATGCTCGGATGTTCTTTTGGTATGATTCCACTTTGAATTGATTTTAGTTATTGTAGTAATTCAGGTCGCTAGTTTTTTGTTTGCCTGCTTCTGATAAGAAATGATGTAGGAATTATATTGTTGCTCTAAATTAAAAATATAATTAGAATAAACAAAACTACGCTTACCCATATTTCACTTGAATTTGAAATTATTTCACAAGGTTTTAAAAACCTTTTTTCACAGTTCAAAATGGTTGGCACCATTTTGAACTGTGAAAAAAGGTTTTAAAAGGAAAAAAAAATATGTGAAAGTGACAGCGCATGTTTTTTATTTTTTAAGGTTCCGTAGCCAAATGGCAAAAAAATGGAACTCTTATGGATTCGTCATGTCTGTCTGTCTGTCTCTCCGTCCGTATGTCACAGCCAATTTTTCAGATACTAAAAGAACTATACTGTTGAAACTTGGTCGGTAGATGTATTCTGTGAACCACATTAAGATTTTTACATAAAAGTAGAAAAATAAAAATAAATTGTGGGGGTTCCCAATACTTAGAACTGAAACTCAAATCATTTTTTTCATCAAACCCATACGTGTCTGGGTATCTATTGATAGGTCTTCAAAAATTATATTGAGGCTTCTTATATTTTTTTGTCTAAACTGAATAGTTTGCTAGTTTGCGCGACAGACACTTCCAAAGTGGCAAATTGTGCCCTCCCCCTAATATAACTTCTAAAACAAGACAATGATAAAACTAAAAAAAATTTTCACTGCCATGCAAACTTCCACAGAAAATTGGTTTGAACGAGATCTAGTAAGTAATGTTTTTTTAATACGTTTGAAATCGTAAACTGCAATTTACCTTTCAATCAATCAACTCAAAAATAAAAACTTATAACTTAATAAAAAAAATACACTATTATTAAAAATCGATAAAAGTTACAACGAACTACAAGAACTTTTATATTATGTTACTTGTTGATACGGAATCCTTCATCGGCGAGTCCGACTCGCACTTGGCCGCTTTTTCCAAATGCTGTGTAGCGCATCACGAAAAATTTAAAACATAAAAAAAAGGTTGAAGCTAATAGTGAATTAATCAAACAACCTGATTAAGAATGTGTTTTATCATGGATAGGTAATATGTTGTATATTATTTGTAGTATGAGGAATTCCATTTTCCTAATTAATCCCTCTTAGTGAATGCTACTCAGTTTTCAATGGAAAATATACACAAAAAACATACAAAATAAGCCTCAGCTCGCATATCGATCCTACATACAATTGCTACTAATATTGCTGACAATATAACTTGTGTATGTGTCTTTAAGTGAACTTTACTAGAAAACACTATACTAGATAAAACCAGCAATTTTCAATAATTAAATCGGAAAAAGCTCATTAAAATAGTCTACTAAATTTTCTTTTTATCTAGATTGAATTTGTAACTTACGTGGCATTGTGTGGTATTGAAAAAGGATGCTATATTTATAAAAAACCTTCTAAAATATTCTGTAAATTAACAGCCTATTACATTGTGCCTCATTTCTCAATGACGTTCAAGGGATTTTTTTTTTAATAGGAATGATGATAAAGTATTGGACAAGCGTTTTTTCCTTTTTCATTTAACTGAAACAATAAAGAGATATATTGATTTGAACTGTCGCATAATGTCAAGTTTTGGTACAACTTTTAGGGTTCCGTAATTTTTTTTAGTCAAAGTAAATTGTAATTTTTAGACTGTTTTTGTTACGGGGTGTTTGTTAGAAATGTGAAATTTTGGTATATTATATCCCATATATGCTATATTTAAACAACAAATACTGAAATCGCCGATTTGTAATGTAATTTTAAGTTGTGACGAAAACAAACACATGATTTTCTTCTTTCGTCGTGTGTTGTACGCAACCCTTCACGAGTGTACCGACTCGCACTTGTCCGGTTTTTGCTTAGTAGTGACGATACGAGGTCCCACTCTCAAACTTTGACGCGCTTTAGCTTTGCCATTTTTAGTAGATTGACAAAAGAAAAACTACGTCTACATTATATTTTTGACTAGCGGCCGCCCGCGAGTTCGTCCGCGTTAACTTTTAGTTTTGTTTCTAAAATAAAAGAATATTTCTAAAATAAAAGTAGCCTTAGTTACTCCTTATTGCATCGACTACCTGCCAATGAAAGTCAAAATCGGTCCATCCTTTTCAGAGATTAGCCGGAGCGAACAGACAGACAAAAATTTGTAAAAAGCGGTTATTTCAATATTACAAACCGACACTCCAATATTATTTATATATATAGAAGTATAGATAATCTAATTGATAGATTAATTCGAATTTCGTTTACTTTTACCCCGTCATCAGCTCTATTCAAGTCGCAGATAACCGCTAATGACAACTTACGTTCCTGCTTAAGCATGTAGTGTTTTTAAAACGATTTATTGATTGTTTTTAATCGAAGTAAGTGCTTTATAAATTTGTTACGTAGTCATAACGACATACCAATATCTGTGATAGTTAACACGCCAGCACTATTATGGACCTTTTCATGATGGATAGTGGTGATGGTTTTTTTTTTTTGGGTTCCGGTGAATAATCACCGGAAAATTACCAAAGAACATTTATTTGAATCAGATTATTTAGATGGTTTAGCATTTTAGCATATGGATGTTTGTTTTTCGCTATTTGATACGAAAAACATAGGAGACTGATAAAACTTACATTTTATTATGTAATTTATATACATTGGGGTAAGTTAGTATTGTATTGTGGTTTTTTTTTGTAATAGGTCATTTGTCATAGTCAATTTTAGGTAAGAGATATGTAAATTTAGATAGAGTGTACTTTTAGGCATGGATGATTATGAATGTGGTGATGGATGGACCATTGATGGATGGTGGTGTAGTGTTGCTGTCGGTGTGTAAGGTTCCAGGGTTCAAAGGGATAGGGGAACGGATCAGGGTAGGCAATGGATCCAGCGATATTTTTGGTATCGCAAGTGTGGTAGGTATGGTGACCGCTTACAATCAGGCGAGCCATACGTTTCTTTGCCACCCTTTTAGCTAAAAAAGGGATTTTGAAGTTACTAATTAATCGGATCATTTTGTAAACCCTACAGTTATGTCGTTATGTACGTAACACACCGAGGTTAAATCAAATGTTTATCTATAATTACAGAGATGTTAATGTATACGAGACGTACTTGTGCATATTAAAATATTTTTAAGTGAAAACCTTAAAAAAATATATATGTAACTAGTTGCCCGCCCTCGCTTCGCTTCGGTGTAGAGCTGTAGTGTAGATTTAAATGACTCTTCATTCATTTCATTTATCAAATTCAATTCAAAACTGTAAATGGTATATTTGTCTTTTCCAAACTTCTATTAACATAACGTCGCTCAATTGATTTGCCTAACCAGAATCTCTCCACTAACATTTGAAATTTATGGTACGGTATTAAAGTTCAAATTAACTTTTAAGTATGGGAGTATAGAAAAGTGTTGTTTTTGGACATTTTCAGCCAATTTTTTTAATTTTCTCTTCGTAAGAACCATCCTCGTACTTCAAGGAATATTCTAAAAAAAAAAGAACTATCGAAATCAATTCAGCTGTTCTCGAGATTTGCGCTTAGCAACACATTCAGCGATTCATTTTTATATTATAGATAACTAAAATACATTATGAAAAGGATTCCCTTTAGGCAAGGTTCCGCAGATACTGGCAGCGTTCCCCCTTTGAATAGCTAGACTAATTCTTTGTACGAGATAGCTGCCAGCTCTTCGGTCTCCTGTGATGTCGACTAACCTTTTTGCTATTTCCTTAAAAAGCCTTACAGCGCTAGGACCCCACGGACCGAGGATCTATCTATAATTGTATGTAATATTAACAACTTTGACAACATACTCGTAAAAGGTAAATATTAGCAGGTAGCAAATATTAGAATTTTTATATTTATAATTTTCTATGAACTATGGACGGTTACTGTGGCCTTATCAGCAATGCCTTTGTGTATATGCTAATGATGTAAGCCACTATGTAAACATAATAATACCAAGATTGATGCCACCTATTTCCTTTGTTGCCGGGAAAAAAATCGGTGTGTTAAATAAATGGTGGGTATATTGTACAATACAAGGTGGTTTCAGGTTACTCGGGCAATCATAAATATTGCAGATTTGTGAATACAATTTTTTTGTGAAAGAAAAAGCTTTGAAGAGCTATTTTTTTCTTAAATGTTGTTCTATATATAAACTACTGAACAGATTTGGAAGAAATTTGTAACGTATAAGTTCATGACCCAGATTGAGACAAAGGATACATTTATCCCGAAACATAGTTAGGTTCATGTGGGATTCTCTAAAAACTGAAGTTAACGCGGACGAAGTCGCGAGGGGCCGCTAGTTTAATCATAAATATGTATAAAACGCATACTGGTACGCTTGAATCACATATTGACTCTAGAGAACCAGTCCTTACGGGGCCTACGCTCTTAACCAAGCGTGAACATCCAGATACCGTATGGCCAGTATTAATAGATCGCTCTTAACTCTGAGAGTGATCTTGAGTACGATCTTGGGATGCTGCTTTGTATGAAAACAAACTCTTAAGATCACTATTAAAGTTCAGAGCGATCTATTAATACGGGCCTTAGATCCCTAAACGCTACCCTTTACTTTGTTGAACAAACTCCGGGAATCTTAATAAATAAAATATTCCATATTTTATATATTGCCTTTAGATTTCACGTAAGCTTAACCACAGAATTAACCACCAGTACTTTACAAGCGAGTATAAGATCAATTAAATATCTGTTTACTAGCGGTGTAGAGCTGAAGTGAAACTACAGTTTTTGTTCTCAGGCTTGTATTATACACAATGACATTCATCTATGAATCTTCTTATACCTGCATGCAAAGTCTCAGCCCGATCGGTTTAAAATTGACAAAGTTTCATACAAACTTTTATTCCCTATTTTATCCTCTTGGGGGTAGAATTGATTAAAATCCTTTTTTAGCGGATGCCTACGTCATAACATCTACCTACATGTTAAATTTCAGCTCGATCCGTCCAGTGGTTTGGGTTGTGCGTTGATAGATCACTATGTCAGTCAGTCAGTCACCTTTGAGTTTTATATATATAGATAGATAAAATATAAGCTTATCAATAGTCGATTTCTGTCAGGTTTTAAATGTCTTTTTTCTTGAATTTGTTGTACGAGTATGTTTAACTATTTAATAAAAAATCATCATGAAAATCAATTATAAGTTCAATCCTTATCAACGAATAGTATGAAGGAAGCCTTTAATAAATAAAAAAAAAAACTAGACAATGAATGGATGTTTAAAGAGGAAGAAATTGATTTCAATAATAAAATAAAATGCTCGAACTAGGTTGATATTTTGTGTAACGACTAGTAGAAAATGAAATAATTAATTGAAGTTTTTATTCCTTCCGCAGGGTATAATTGCAAGAGATCTGGAGCACACTGACGCCTCCGCTACCATCACTTCTGGTGGAATTGGTTTCTCCTACGCCAATCTCAGATTCAAAAGCGACAGGGGCTCCGGCCTCAACTACCAGCTAGAAATATATTCATAATCAACCAGAATCACTCATACAATTGTACACAAAAAATCCGTTGATTGAATTTAAATTCGTCTTTCAATGTTTTATTCATGTTGACCACCCGAAGCAGGGTGTTGTAAATTGAAATACAAAATCCAATTATTCTTTGGAATGCTTCATAATTTAATACTTCTGGATTAAGTATTTATACAAATCTGAGTTGATTTAATTTTTAGAATGTATTTTTTGATGTTTTTTTGTTAACAGAATATAGCTTTTCATGTGAACTACTAATTATAGTATTTAAGAATTTCAATGAGTTTGAAAGAAAGCAAATTGACGTTAATTAAATTTTCATGCAAAGTATTTATAAAATAAACAGGTCTCTTTCAAGATACAGTAGTCTTATTTACATATGAGTAAGATGACATTAAAGTAAATAAAACTTATATGCCTAAATAATTTTATTTATAATGATTATAATTTTTATTTTCTAAGCATGTAACTGCTTGATTCTTAAATCTAAAGAAAATATAACTAGAAAAAAATCCACACGGACCAGGCAGCAGACGGGACTCGAACCCGCACCCTTCGCTATCCGGGGGAAGCGGATTATCAGTATTATGTATTCAATCAGACACCATACTATCTAATAACACAAGTGCTTACTTTGAAGCTAGGCTAATTGGTGTGTTAGAAAAAGTGTTTGCTGTGTATTGACTTGAAAACTATTTAATTTAAATGCATTAGCGTATTATTTTGTATTGTAGGTTATTAATTTTTTTCTTTCTGGTCATTATCATATTTAGGTAGGTACCTAGTAGTTTTATGGGATAATTAAATATAGTCAAGTAAGTCTACAAATCGATTTGCGCAAGGTGGCTGGCAGGAGCTGGATGCGAGTAGCCCAAGATCGATCTGAGTGGCGTGCATTTGGAGAGGCCTATGTCCAGCAGTGGACTATGATAGGCTGTTGATGATGATGAAGTCTACAAATTTATAGAACTGCATAGATATCTTTATTTTTTTAACAAATATTTATATAAAAAACTAAGTATATACATAAACTTTCTTTCGTAGAAATATAGTATATACATAAACTTTCTTTCGTAGAAATCAACTGCAGCACCCCATTAAATATATGGGTACATACCTACTGCGTTATCCAACTCCTACCCGATGTATCTAACACTAACATTACGGTTATTTATCAGTATCAGAGAAATACACTTTTACAAATCCTATAATGCATAATGATTGGTATGGTTCAGAATCCGATGTCGAATATCGGTATATAGTTTCTATTTAATTCAGAGACAAAGCTATTTTACCAACCTATAGCATAGTTAGTAGAATTCGCTCGATGTTGCATATCGCTTCTGCCGCTTTGCTACCACGACGGTACTCATATTCCAATATCACTTGAATTTTTAACGTATCCATGATTACGAAAACGTAGAAATGTGTTAAAAACAGAACGCTAACCTTTGAACAAATTACTAATTTTCAAAAGAGAATTCCATATTTTAAATAAAAATAATTTGAATTTAGAATTCTTAGCGAAAAAAGAAAAAAATAGACTTGAAATAGCCAGTGCGGTAGAACGGCAATTTTATAGGTAAAGACCTAATATATAATTTTTATTTGGAATGTACGATGGCCTTTGAATCAAACAACACTCGGTATATGAATGACCAAAGCCTTCGATAAGCTTTAGTTTAGCGCCTATTAGCAAAGGATTTATTATTATTTATATTTGCAAATATTGCTGACATGCCCGCCCTCGCTTCGCTTCGGTGTAGAGCTGTATTGTAGACTATAGTTGTTGTTCTCTGGTTTGCATTATACAAAATGAATTTCTTTTTATAATTATGAACCTTCCATGAAAGTTTAACTGATAGTGAAAATTTTGATGCGTAGTTTAGGACTCGTTGTACCGAATGCAGCATTTATTTGTATGAAATCACAGGAACTAAAAGTTGGATTAGAAAAATTCTTTTTGCATCATTATTCTGTCGCATTCCTGCAAAGGATGCGAAACGTCAAGAAATAAATTCTGTGCATCAAACTCGTTGAAACTTGTTTTATTTAAACAAGTTTCAATGAAAAGTCCGCGACAGCATATTCCCATCTTTTAATTTTGACTCACTATAACCTTTTTCTTAAATTAACAAGGGTGCAACCGCAGGGGACCTTTAGTTGTGACATAATACTGTATTAGTTAGAAATATGATATGATATCGCGGACTTTTTTGTGAAATATTTATGTCCTCTATAAAACTTTAGTTCATCACTTTGCTCTAATGTCAATGGCTTCCACAGCGTAAGCAATATAAGGACATTTTTTCACACCCTGGGTTACATTATCGAAGTTTTCATACGGATCCATAACTTTTTTGAAAACACTCTACAGCCTATGTTTATCAGGGATAATGTAGCATTCTAAATGTTCAAATCGGTCCAGTAGTTTTTGAGTCTATTCAACATAAACAAACAAATAAACAATCATATACTTCCTTTTTATAATATTAGTATAGATATGGAAACGGGGCATTCTACACCACACTGGCCACTCTCAGTTTTCTTATTTTGACCTGAGGGTTATTTTTTGAAGTTATACTTCTTTAGCCGCGTTATGAAAAAATTATGAGAGTGAAATTTTCATCACTGTAACACAAAATTTTAACATAATGAAGTTAGCCGCGGGCGCGTTATTTGTAATATTTTATTTTCCAAGTGACCGTGGGGCAGATTTGAACAAAGCAAACAGGGCAGATTTGAACGGGACATTGAAATGAAATGAAATGAAATGAAATGAAATGAAATGAAATGAAATGAAATGAAATGAAATGAAATGAAATGAAATGAAATGAAATGAAATGAAATGAAATGAAATGAAATGAAATGAAATGAAATGAAATGAAATGAAATGAAATGAAATGAAATGAAATGAAATGAAATGAAATGAAATGAAATGAAATGAAATGAAATGAAATGAAATGAAATGAAATGAAATGAAATGAAATGAAATGAAATGAAATGAAATGAAATGAAATGAAATGAAATGAAATGAAATGAAATGAAATGAAATGAAATGAAATGAAATGAAATGAAATGAAATGAAATGAAATGAAATGAAATGAAATGAAATGAAATGAAATGAAATGAAATGAAATGAAATGAAATGAAATGAAATGAAATGAAATGAAATGAAATGAAATGAAATGAAATGAAATGAAATGAAATGAAATGAAATGAAATGAAATGAAATGAAATGAAATGAAATGAAATGAAATGAAATGAAATGAAATGAAATGAAATGAAATGAAATGAAATGAAATGAAATGAAATGAAATGAAATGAAATGAAATGAAATGAAATGAAATGAAATGAAATGAAATGAAATGAAATGAAATGAAATGAAATGAAATGAAATGAAATGAAATGAAATGAAATGAAATGAAATGAAATGAAATGAAATGAAATGAAATGAAATGAAATGAAATGAAATGAAATGAAATGAAATGAAATGAAATGAAATGAAATGAAATGAAATGAAATGAAATGAAATGAAATGAAATGAAATGAAATGAAATGAAATGAAATGAAATGAAATGAAATGAAATGAAATGAAATGAAATGAAATGAAATGAAATGAAATGAAATGAAATGAAATGAAATGAAATGAAATGAAATGAAATGAAATGAAATGAAATGAAATGAAATGAAATGAAATGAAATGAAATGAAATGAAATGAAATGAAATGAAATGAAATGAAATGAAATGAAATGAAATGAAATGAAATGAAATGAAATGAAATGAAATGAAATGAAATGAAATGAAATGAAATGAAATGAAATGAAATGAAATGAAATGAAATGAAATGAAATGAAATGAAATGAAATGAAATGAAATGAAATGAAATGAAATGAAATGAAATGAAATGAAATGAAATGAAATGAAATGAAATGAAATGAAATGAAATGAAATGAAATGAAATGAAATGAAATGAAATGAAATGAAATGAAATGAAATGAAATGAAATGAAATGAAATGAAATGAAATGAAATGAAATGAAATGAAATGAAATGAAATGAAATGAAATGAAATGAAATGAAATGAAATGAAATGAAATGAAATGAAATGAAATGAAATGAAATGAAATGAAATGAAATGAAATGAAATGAAATGAAATGAAATGAAATGAAATGAAATGAAATGAAATGAAATGAAATGAAATGAAATGAAATGAAATGAAATGAAATGAAATGAAATGAAATGAAATGAAATGAAATGAAATGAAATGAAATGAAATGAAATGAAATGAAATGAAATGAAATGAAATGAAATGAAATGAAATGAAATGAAATGAAATGAAATGAAATGAAATGAAATGAAATGAAATGAAATGAAATGAAATGAAATGAAATGAAATGAAATGAAATGAAATGAAATGAAATGAAATGAAATGAAATGAAATGAAATGAAATGAAATGAAATGAAATGAAATGAAATGAAATGAAATGAAATGAAATGAAATGAAATGAAATGAAATGAAATGAAATGAAATGAAATGAAATGAAATGAAATGAAATGAAATGAAATGAAATGAAATGAAATGAAATGAAATGAAATGAAATGAAATGAAATGAAATGAAATGAAATGAAATGAAATGAAATGAAATGAAATGAAATGAAATGAAATGAAATGAAATGAAATGAAATGAAATGAAATGAAATGAAATGAAATGAAATGAAATGAAATGAAATGAAATGAAATGAAATGAAATGAAATGAAATGAAATGAAATGAAATGAAATGAAATGAAATGAAATGAAATGAAATGAAATGAAATGAAATGAAATGAAATGAAATGAAATGAAATGAAATGAAATGAAATGAAATGAAATGAAATGAAATGAAATGAAATGAAATGAAATGAAATGAAATGAAATGAAATGACATTTATTCAGTCTAGGCTGTTACAAGCACTTGTGAAGGTCAAGAACACAACGTGTTTTAGTTACTTACAAGTGCTAATTACATATGGACTAATAACTTAAATTCAGTAGTGATTTTAATTGAATATTTTGAATATTTATTTAATTTTTCAAATTAAAACTGAACATAATTGACTGTGTTGTAATTATTAATTATTTG